TTATTTAGAATTAACCCAGACCTGAGTCTTACAGTGCTTTTTACTTTTTTTTTTTTTTCTTCAGTTTTCTCTAGCCTCCAGTCCCATTTTGTTTTGACAGTTATTCATTAAGCCAAGGAGAGTTTAATAAACCTTTCTCTGAATATCTGCAAACAGAATGTGAAACAAGTCTGCGCAGAACATTGGGTTTTAGCTTGAATCATCACACAGTTTTGAGCTCCTGGTTTGGGGGATTATCAGTCGGTTGTACACGACGAATCAAATTTAGGGGTTTTGAGCACCAGCTACTGAGGCCAAATGGAGCTGCAAGCCAGCCAAACATTTCAGACTAAGGTTGGTATGGGAATGTAACTTTTTATTCAATTACAACGTAAGACAGCAAAGAACATTAGAAATATGTAATAACTTCCTATTAAAGAGGTAATGATAGTATCCTGGATTCAATGGATTCAGATATTACAGCTATTCAAGACTGTATGAGAAGCATTAACAGCGTATCATTATTCAGTCAAATGTATGCTGGAATTTAATTGGATTTTTGCTGTTTTATTTACCTTGCTGGCGGAATGAGGTCTTCTGTTCATATAGGAATGTGTTAGGAAATACTTCATGACAACTTTGATTTTACAAAGATGCTTATTAAGTAAACTAATACTGATTGATGTTAAATTTTATTTTTCTATGGTTACTATCAGTATCTTGACATTTAAAGCCTCTGCCCAAAAGCTGTTGCTGTCTCACCTTCCCATAGTCTTGCTATAACTTGCTTACTGTAAATGTATGGCAGATATTTTCCTAGACTGTAGACAAAGGCCCAGATGGAAGAGCAGTGAGAGGGAGGAAGGAAAGAATCAATATATCTCTTTTAATGCAATTTTGTTTTCAGATGTAAGTGCCATTTTATCTGCTTTGTTTTACCCCCTTTTTCAGGTGCTGGAATTACTATGTTTAAAATGCAAAGTGTAAAAGCAGAGATGGTGCCTTTTTTCTCCTTCTGGTAAACAGCTTAAAAATTCTGCAGATTAAAGATAAATTGGGATAGAAAGTATAAGAACCAATTAAGATAGAGTGACTTTTATACACAGTGCAGTTATGGAAAAACAACTGTACTGTGATTATGCAAATCAGCCACTCATAACCAAAATGCAAGGATTTACATAACGGAGAAAAAAATTCTTCACAGTTATGCCTCAGTAACCTTACAGGATTTTTGCACTTTAATGGTATGACTCATTGTAATAAAGCGATCCTACTTGCTTTATCCAGAATGAAATATATGTTAGGACATCGCCATTCTGAATGATTTGTGTCGTTTTGGAAGCCTGCACTCTCCTGCCAGAAAAGGTAGGGTATGTTCTACTTTAAAGAGATATAAATCTATAAAAAAACCAGAATTTCTGCTTGTATCAGTCAAAATTTTAACTGGGTTTACATATTGCATCACTGGTCTTGTAATAAATGTATACTAATACAACCGAGCCCTCTGTTCTTGGAACTTTTTTTTCCTCGTTCTTTTAAATTCATCTGATTTTGATAAAATAAGACTTCTCTGGTGCATATAATACAGAAGGAAACATCAGTGTAATTTAAATTGCACAGGCCCTATCCTGGAGTTTTGCACAGTGAAATCTTAATGGGAATCCTGGTATTTTTAGTTAGTTAAGTATGTCTAGACTATTTAACTTGTGACTTCTATGTGTTCGACAAAACATTATTTTGAAAAGATGAGTGTTCTATTATAAGCCACATGGAAGGAACAGCACTTATTCAGCTCAGTGTGGTTTTCTGTACCTTTATTTTTGTCATCTTGTATTCCACTATTTTAGTGCTGGGTTTTTTAAAACAAGCATGACTTGATAGTAAGTAATTTCTATGATGAGCCAGAAAGAGGAGACTTATTAGCCCCCTCCTATGGCTGGACTTCTTTATTAGTCAAGCCAAGTTGATTGCAGGTGAGCTTTTTCACAATGTGGGTACAATCTGTCCTAGTATATATTCATTAAATCATGATGGCTTATTTTCCATCTGTGGACATCTTAGGCAGAGGCAACTAAAACATTTAATTATTTCTCTCGTGCACACAGACAAAACAGCACTAAAAAAAAAAAATAATCCTCTCCCAGTTATCACTAAGCTTGCAAAGCCTTCCCTGTCATGTGGGGATGAACACGAGACATTTGGAAGTTTTAAATGAGAAAGTACATGAACTAGAAAACAGGCTTGTCACTGAACTGCAGAGACGAGAGAACTTGCTGACTACGGAATTCCTTTGCCATGTGTAAGACTTGGGGTGAGGTCTTCAGTTTGAATCTTACAGAGGAAAAACCTGGTCCATGGTCTTGGAAATGTTCTTAGACCCAAGTATCGGTTCTGTCTCAATGATGCCCATTCACCATCTTTATTCTCTCTCACATGGCAAGAAATTCCCAGAAAGGCACTATAAAAATGATTTGGTTGGAACAAATTTACATTCTGCCATTCTGCTCTGTTTTAAGAGAGATTCTCAAAAAAATTTGCAACCAGCTGTAAGAGGTAAGGTCTGACAACTTCTCTGTCCTCAACTTTGTAACAGGCTAACAACACCTTGCTGACAACTCCCTACTGACAAAATGAACAAACAGTAAGGAAATGCTATAAGCTTCTGGTAGGGATATGAGGTTTCCTCTCCCCTCCCACCCCCAATATTTTGGAAACGGCCTACTTAAACTTATTTGGTGATCTGTTTGTGTTAGTTTATAAATGACAAACACATTTAGACCTGTTAATTATTGTCCATTCGTGTAGGATTTGTTACTGTTCTCAGTGGGGAAAACAAAAGTTACTTGAGGTGTAAAATGGCCCAACATGTCAATGGCACTATTTCATATTTAAATACTTCAAAAAAACATGCCCAAGCCCCTTTCCAGTACAATCAAAATTTGACTTTCTTCTTGAAATGGCAAAATAAAAAAAAATAAATATACACATCAGGATGATATGTTAAACAGTCCCAGTATTTGATGGAGATACTGAGAAGATCCAATCACATCTGCAGCCTCTTGAAGAAGAGCAGACAATAGGTATGGTACTTGTGACTACCCCAGGTTCATTTCTCCACTCACCACAGAATTCCTGCATGTTCTTGGATGAGTCTGGATATCTAAAATGTGGGCAATAAGCTCTGGTCTCGCTATCAGCACAAGGCATGTATTTAATAATAAATAAGAGTTGCCTTATGGCTGAGTACACTTTTCTCAGTAAGCACTTTCACCATGTCATAGTAGGTTCTTTTTTTTTTTTTTTCATATGAATTAAAAAAAAAAGTAAAAGTTTTATTTGGAAAAATTCTCCAGACAGGACTTTTCTCCTGCTTTCTCTGCTGTTTTCAAAAAGTATGCAGCAGTGCATTCAATGTTCCTCTCTATCTACATTTTTCTAGACGTACCAAGTACAGAGTCCATATACTAGAAACCATTCACACCTTTGCTATGCTACAATCAAGGTTTAAAAATAAAGGAATATCTACATAAAAGTGTCCTCTACCTCATTTACACAGCATGGTGAGCTAAAAATTAAAAGAGAAAATGTTTCAAATGCTGACCGTTTCTACCTCAGTGTCTTGTATTTTCTTTTTTTCTTCTTTTTCTTCTCGTAGTTTTGTTTTTCCCATGATATCATCAGGCAATTTCATTTCAGTACGGTCTGCACTGGACTGTGCAGATTACCAAACTAATGGCATACGGACTTCTTACCACTGTAATACCTCTATATTGCAAGTGAGAATTTCGAGTGACAGAGCAAAGCTGTTTGCTATCAATTTTGCAAAAACCACATCTGCCAGATTGCCAAGATCCATTTCAGAGATAAAAAATCGATTAATATTCTAATTTGTTATCTGTCTTTATCAGTCACACAACATTTCTTTATATAAATGATAACCTTCTACAAATGAAAACTCTTACATATGTTAAAATATTTCCCTGAAAATATTTTACATTTACTTACTCTTCTCAAGTTAAAATTATTAAAGATTGTCTCTCTAATGCCTGCAATTAAAATACACATACACACACAGCCTTCATCTTCACGTCTACAAAAGTGCCAAAATTATCTGCTTGTATCATTAGGTAATTTTTCTGTCAGTAACAAAATGGATTTTTTCCTTATTATATGAAGCTACATGGACAATATTGAATTAGTTGTATATTTAATACTAGTGTAGGCATACTAAAACGTACCAAACAGGTTCAAGAACTCTAGTATTATAAAGAGCAGCAAAAAGCTAATGCTTTTATTTTTTTTTACAAATGTGAACAAATTGAGGCCTCAACTTTGAATCAATACTTTCTAGCACAGACCAAAAGAACCCTGCTGACTTTAACCCTATTGACTTCACAGAAATATACACTCGTACTTTTAAAGTATTCTGTATAGGTACGGGAACTCATGCAAATAACATTCAAACACTGATGTAAGAGAATTACTCAGTGGGAAAAGCATGGCTATCTTCATCTGATGTATTTGAGCTGTTTCCTTATTAAAAAGCCATTTTCCCACTTCTTCTACATTTTCTAATCCCCAAAGATACACAGTTTCCTGTTCTCAATATTTATGAGGTCTGGCCAAATTTTGCTTTAAGGTAATATGCCCTCACACATTTGTCATAAACATGAAACCCTAAGTGTTACTGTTAGGAAATCTTTTGTTTATTGGTTCCAAGTCCTCTGTGAGTTCTGCCATCCCAGTTTTGAGGATTCAGCAATAATTCATCAGTAAAAATTAAAATTTTTAAAAGACAACCTGACATAACAAGAATAGACTCAACTCACATATGCATTTTACCCTATTTTTTCTATTCCAATGAATTTTGAGGAGCTTACTAAACCAGGTTTATTTTCTGATTTTTCTGGTTTTGACTAGAAAACATCTAGTACGCTGTCTAAATAAATGACAAAGAAGAAAACACCAAGTTAAATCTAATCTGCCAGCAGAAGCTTTTTAATCAATCAAGCTTTACTTACGTGGAATTTTGTTCAGTTCATTCATGAACTTCTCTTTCAACTTAGAAAATGCATCTTCTTTTCCTCCCCCTCCTCCGGGGCTGGCTGGTTCGGTGACATTACTTGGAGGGGCTGCTGCTACTGTGGTAGCTGGCGGTGCTGCCAGGGCCTCATGATGACTTTCACTCACCATTTTAACCCCTGGGTAAGCTGTTGGAATAAAAAAAAAAACACAACAAAATCCCAAAAGATAATGTTTAGATCGTTGAAATGGATCTCTCATCAATAAAAGACTAAATAGGCAGAATATCACCTGGTGCTCATGCTTACTGGATAAATATGACTGCATCAGCATATTGCTTCATGTTCTTCATAAAATATTTATTAGACTAGAGAGAAAAGTCTTTTGCAGGGTTAATTTCAGCCAGAATCATTTCACTGCTAAGGGTTCTTCTCCAACAGTGTTGCATTTTGAACTGCTGAATTCGAAACCTCAAAATTCCTGTAAAACTCTCATGCAGATTTATGGTTTGCTCTTCAATTTTGAAAGTATAAGCAAATTGGGTAATAACTGCTCCCTATGTGCAAATTTCACAGTGTAGTTACAGAATTATTTTTCTATGAGTGTTACAGAGGTGGGGATCATAGCTGAAGTTTCTATATAAAATAAATTAAGTGATACAGATATAATAAAAACACTTCAAGATTTCCTGTCAAAGCAATAACCTATTGTTGCCTATTTAAGCAAGTTGTATATTAAACAGAAATTGATTTGCATCCATCTTTATCTTCACTTATTGAAGGCAATTTTCCTTCCAGTTATTTTGTGTGACATTTGCTACTGACAATATTCTCTTAAATTATTCAGATGTCTCATCGGTGTATTCACGAAGCTATGACATCTGCAGGGTCTCTAAACGCAGCCATATTGAAATATCTCAGAGGCTGTCACAAACATAATCCCACATCAGCATATTTTTGATTCCATGTTGTTTAACAAGCATTTTGCAAAACCTTTACTTGAGCGTACATTACAAAGCAAAGAATTTTGGGCCAATGGGGTGAAGGTGAGATGACATGCGCAAAGCAATTTCAATATCATAAGAAGGTTGGCTGAAATCTTTATACGGGTTTTGAACACATTGTTCTGATTCTCTGCTGCATCATAAATATCACTCATCTGAATAATCATTCTGTTTTTCTTCAGAAAAGCAGAGGGAGAAAGGGCTTGAGAGATAACAAACACTCATTATTGCTCTGAGCGTACAAATGCTCTCAGCCCCAAAAGACATTTGGCCTTTGATCTTTTGCTGAGAAATTTAAACATCACCATAGGAAAAAGAGGTAAGACATCAAAATTAAAGGGGCATAAGAGCATCTGACTGCATGCCACATGATGAATCATGAGCTTTCCTGCCTTACGTGACTGTTTTCATGGATGTTGCTGAGAGTGCTCAAATCACTATATCAGGATGAGAATTGGCGTTTCGTCCTTCAACTTTACTTCTACGCGCCTGCAGTCACGAAGACCTGCAGGCACAGACCTGACTGCTGGCAGAATGAACCTTTTGCAATCACCCTCACCATTCTTGTCATTAAACAGCGGTTTGCACACAAGTGTAGTCTGGAATAGAATTCTCCAATACTGTCATCCAATGAAAAAGATTTTAACTGAATAGGGGGTTGGCCTTGTTCTGCAGAAGCTATTTGGTGGACGTTTTGCAGCAATTTTATTGATGCAGCACTGAATGAAGCAGTAATCCCTGCCTACCCATCGCTCCTGCCTTTGCCCTCACAGTCTCTAGCCTAATACAAAATCATGTTGATGTTGACACAGAATACGTATATGATAAAGCGCCATAAATATTTCATAAGCATGCAGTCTTATCTATTTGCCTGTAACAACATGGGAGCAGTTCGCTACCTAAAGCAGACCGAAGTCGATGGAAAGATTCCAGTTAATATCCATGAACTTTGGCTCAAGTCCGATGTCTGCAAAGATTTCCCCACTTACCTCCCAAAATAACAATTGGGAAAAACATGTAGTGCATAATTTGGGTAGTATGAAATAACGTGCCAGCTATTCCAGACTAGAAGACTTTTTCCATATGCTCTGATGAATGCCAAATACTATGAAGCAAAACATGCAGAGCCATCAGCTGTAAACATTAGTGCTGTTTTATATTACAGCGTTTTGTCAATGAATGTCAGTTAAATCAGAAGAAAAGTTGTATGATATATCATAATTAAATCAAAATTAAATTGCTTAATTATAATATATTGCTTAATTATTTCAGGCCTGGCAGTTGACTATTTTATTTTGTAATGGAAGACACAATTTGCAGTGATGACTTTCAGCTAATTAAAAATTAAGGCAAATGTAATTTATTTGCTTCCAGTTTTGGAGCTATATTTTGAAAATATATCAGGAGAACAAATTCGAAGCATTACACTTTAATTTATTTAAAAGACGGAAAAAAACCCCAAAACAGAGTATTCCTCTGAACTCCAGGAACAATCCTCAGTAGAGTCTTAGTGCAGTTAGAGGTCACTACATCTAATGAGGCATGCCCAAATGCTTTGAGACTTGCTACAGAGCCTTCGACCTTTACACGCCAATGACACTGTCCTGATATTTTAAATAGGTGTGAAGGGGCTAAAAAAGAATCTTGTCTCAGAAAAAGCTGTCTGCAGTAAAGAATTGTCTGAAGACCACATGCCCACTGGCTTACAGAGATAACATCTGATGGCTTCTATTATTGTAATGCTGCAGCTTTCCACAGTAACGCCATAAACACTGTGGTGTTATTAGAGACTGCAGAGTACTGAATAATTAGATTTAAATTGGCTTTTTACAAAAGAAGGGGTTACTTTAATGCTGCAGTGCAGTGCTGAAGGTAAATATCTAAAAAATACTAGCAGATTATCTGCCGTTTATGAAATGGCAGTTGCAAGCAAAAATTTCTTATAGGTTGAAAAATGAAATGTCATAGAATTCAATTATGATTTCCAGTTCAGTGTTCAATACAATGACCCCACTGCTAGGTATGAAACACTACATGTTGCACATGCAACATGCAGTCATAAATAAGAGTACATTTGTAGTCATAAACAAAAGTACAATCTCATTTACATACTTCTATAAAACACAGTATAGACCATATCCCCTGAGCATGACAATTCTTTGGTATACCACTGCCTGTCCATACCAGTGTCATACAATCATTATAAGGCAGATGTGAAAGAAAACAATGAACAAACACAGAGAATGCTTTGAAGTAATGCTTGCTGTCTCTATACAGAAGTAGCCAAGTGCTGACTGAAAATGCAGAGATGATGATTTGAACCCTTGAGGAGGTCAGGGACTTTGAGAATTACTGTTCCCCATGCAGGAAAAACTCTGACAAAAATCAGTATCAGCTCAAACTTCTACAGAATTTCTACCGAATTTCCTCTGAAAAGGAAGCACCTGAATAACATACAAATGCACTGTGGAGATTAACAAGAAGCAAGAGATTTCCTTACGGAGGTATAAAGGCTGACTGCCTTAGTAGTATGCTGGCGTGGATCCTGATGGTGAGTCCTGTTGGAATGCATCTCTTAAAAACTACTCTTAAGAGAAGAGCAAAGAGGAGGAGGAAGACTTCAAATATGGATGATTACAGGGCATGGAGTAGCCTCTGGAAATCAGATCTGAAAAAATATATTCCAGGGGCAACAGCACCTCTTTGCAAACATTCAGATATATCCCAAGTAAGATGTGGACAACACTGGGGGACTAATCCCATGGGAAATTTTTGCTTGTTTTACATTCTTTTTGAACAGTAAACTGAATAGAGAGAAAATGAATGAGAGAGATGTGGGATGTTCACAGTGATTCACATGAAAAGGGGATCTTCAAGATTTGGAATAAGAGCAAAACTCAGAGTTGTTTATCATCTTCGGGCAAATCATGGGGAGATTTAAGATAAACTTTAAAAAAAACCTCCACAACCAAACAAGGGCCATAAGGCAAAAAGCGAATTTGTATGGTTTCTACGTGGTTAAATTACAGCAGGTATACCATAGCAGCCTGCTGAAGGACTTAGTGAATACTTAATTCTGTGGAAATAAAATTGGCAACATTACTTCTGCATGGTGCATTTCAGACAATTTAATTTTTCTCACTCCTCTTATCTGCTGAATACAAACTGGGTGGAGCGAGAGAGCAAACAAGTCAGACACCCCATGATGACCAAATCATTCCCTCCCAATGAGAAATTTTCCGGAAAGTGCCTTTTACCTTGCCGCCTCTCAAATTTTTCTGCCATACTAAAAATTAAAATTAATGAAATTATCCAAAGCATACAAATGTGGTGTAAAAGTAATTGTGTAAGTTTTCAGAAGTAATTGTCACCATTCTTGCAATGTCTGATGCTGTAACTGTAGTAGAGGTGGTCACTGTACCTCAATAAGCCTTCAAAGTTGTAATTTGGGATCTATATTGTTAAATGGTATTTCCTGGCCAGCTTATCTTTTCAGCATCCCAAACATGTTCACTTCATGACTTACATCCAGCTTGGAATGTAATCACAAAACTTATCCAATAAAGAAAAAAAAGATCACATGTTAACATCAGCTGTGTTCCTCTGTCATTTTTATTTACAGCTTACGTGCCCTGAAAGAGAAAGAAACTATTAGCTTTCAGTGCTGATATGTCCAAGGTAAGTAGGCAGTGTTACTAGAGAAAGGTTTGACACCACATTGAAAATTTACCCTATTCCATTAGACTGTTTTTGATGAAATTAATTCATCATTAAGAAGATGGGAACATTACCAGAATGTCTAAAGATATCTACAATAAACGATCTCTTCCTAGATTTAAGTATTCTGGGATGTTAATAATACATTTTTTTACTCATTTATCTTCCTGTTAATGAAATACGCTATCTTTCTAGCTTCAGTAATGGACATTTATTTAAAAAGACAAGCTCAGAAAAGAGACTTTCTTGGCTTTTTATAAAGATGGGTCTGTAACTACATTGTCAGAAGAATGGAAGGTCACGGTAAAGATGTCATATCAAAACAGCCTTTTCACCACTACCACAAAGGCTTTACAATGCAATCCAGATTTAGTACTGCTTTAGAGAAGGTACATGAAAGGCCCAGCATTTCACAGGGAAAAAAGTTCTGATGAAGAACCTTGGTGGGATAATTCAGGTGTCCTG